AACCCTCAGCTGCTGCCCCGGTGATTGGCAGCTCAGCCCACATTACCACCACCAGTAGCAGGCACCCTAGTGCCCTGTTACACTGCTTATTTCAGTTATATGTTTTGAGATTAAAAAAATCCTCCATGTCTTATTACTCTGAGCACAGAAGTCCAATTAAGTAAACTTGTTTTAGTTTCTTCAAGGTCTTATTTTTTTTCTCTTTCTCTGTCTTAAGTATAAAAATGCTTGAAAACTTAGAGAAGGGGAGGATACCTTTGAAACAGACAAGTGAGTGATTCCCCTTGCTGTATAAAATCCTCCCTGTGATCACAGTATAGCCTTAAATAAAGAAAAGCTGGCTCTGTCAGTTCTGATTCAACCACAATGCGAAGTTTGATTTCTTTCACAAAGTGATCAGACTTTTGGATCTCTCAGTCATTCTCATCAAACCTGTCTTGATGTTTCCTGGTAGAAAATCCAATTTTCATCACAGGCACTGATGATGGTAGCCTTGAGAGCACCCCACATGCTGCTGACATTCTCCCATTATTGTTGATTAGAATTCAATAGTTTTTCATTGGGGAACTAGTGGTAGAGGTCTTGCTTGCTTGGGTCCTTGAGTCCTTCAGTGTTGATCTACTGACATTGTTTCTGCTCCAGCCATCATTTGGGACCCAGTTTGAGTGACATAACTTAGTGGATGAGTCAGTGATAAGTCCAGAAATCATCAGCTCCTAGCATACTTTGGGTAATGCAGACATCTTTGCGATCCTGCACACTGACAATGACAAAGTCAATCAGGTGCCAAGGCATAAATTGTGGGTGTTGCCATGACGTCTTGTGCCTGTTTTTCTAACAGAACAGATGGTGTTAGTGATGCTGAGTCCATGTTCTGCACTTTTGGTCAAGAGGAGGATACCACTGGAGTTGACTTTTCCTACTCCTTCTTTGCCAATGGTTCCATTCCAGAGGTTAGAGTCCCATCCAACTCTGGCATTGAAATCAGTGAGAAAAATAACTTTGTCTCCTTCTGGAACTTCAGAAAGGGCTTGGTCAAGCTTGGCATATTATTCCTCCTTGGTCTTATTGGCAATATCAAGAGTTGGAGCATATGCACTGATGACAGTGGCATATTGGCTCCCCACCAGTTTAAAATGGAGAGTCATGCAGTGCTCATTAATTCTGACAGGGAACCCACTGAGTTCATTCTTAACGGCAAAACCAACTCCATGAGGTCAATGTTCTCCTTCCTGCTTACCCTTCCAGAAGAAGGTATAGCCGCCTTCATGTTCTTTGAGCTGCCCACCTCCCACTCACTGTCTTGCTCAGTGCAGCTACATAGATGTTGTGTTGCCCGAATTCTCAAGCCATGATTGCAGTGCAGTGTTCTGGACATTCACTATTAGCGTTGTCCATGAGGGTTCTGATGTTTCAGGTCCTAAAAATGAAGGTGCGTCTTTGCTGGTATTTTTGACCAAAGTAAAGGCGATCCCACTGGACATAGTTATCCAGTCAGGAAGAAATGCAGAATACCGTATTAGACAGGTATGTTTACGGCACCTTTTCTAGTCCCCTCCCCCTGTGGGGTGAACAGAGCAGATCCTGAAGAAGCTTGCAGTCACAGTTACAGCTGCCAAATCACACTCCTGTTTCATCCACGTACTAGACCAGTGGTTCCCAATCTGTGGTACACATACCACCAGTGGTATGCAGACAAACCATCTGTGGTACACATTGACAGATTTATTATAATTACTTTATATGACAAATATTTGTTAGTGGTACTTAAGGCTGAACTGAAAAATTTGCTGGTGGTACTTAAGGCTGTATCATTTTAAACTGGTGGTGCACAACCTGTCAGAGTTTGGGAACTGCTGTACTAGACGACCTTCTTGTAACTGCTGCCTTTGTGCCAGTTCATGACTAGCAACTTCCAGACCTCACAATCCTAGTTTCATCACCATTAGCTGGTTAACAAAGGGCTTGAGGAATGTGCTGGAAAAGTTGTTTTTATGGGAGATGCTTGTGCATGCCAACTTTTATCATGGAGAAGCTGCTGTACATCAGCTACCACATGGCTCTTGACAGAATGGGACCTTGATCCAAGGGCAAGGAGACCAAGACATCTCATTCTGCTGCAGCCTTCATCTGCCTTTACAGCCATTGAGATTATAACATCTTCCTCTGCCTTCTCCACTGTTGAGGACTTGGAGACCCGTGGCTGGGGGCTTGGCAGGCTTATTGTAGTGGTGACCTGTACTTGTCACGTCACAGCACCATCAAAGGGTATATTAGGCTTTTCGGGAGGGAAAATATTACCATCTCCTATCCCCATGACATCCTGATGGTGCTGCCACTGCTTGGTCTACAACTGCTTCTTCATCAAAAGTTACCCCTGCTTATTTCACAGCTAACCTTCCCTGAAGGTCATTCCACTATCTGTCACCTGTGGACATGCTGGGTAGCAGTACAGCTCTGCCTCACAGGTGTTTGCAGTATCAGAGGCAATAACTGTGTTCATGTTTTCATATAATCCATTAGTATCTTGCAACCCTTTTAAATTCAAAATAAAAAGCAGCTGTGTTAATGAAAAATTATTTCAAATTTCAATGCATTATACAAATATGCATTATATAACGATGCACATTTTCTTCATATACAAAGGCCATTTTTTTTTCCAAGTAGGAGCCTACAGCTAGGTTCCCAAGCCATATACTCGACTTTAAACTGCAAACAACGATGGAGTATAGCTTGGTCAAAGCAGTTCAGTTTTCCTGGCTTGTAACTGTTCAGCATATTAGATAATGTTTCTTAGAATGCAAAGCTAGAATAGTCTGTTTGTTATACTTTTGTCTGAGTTTGTATATATTGTACAGTAAGGATGCTAATGAGAGCTTGGATTTGTCTCTCTAGACAAAAAAATATACATGTAGAATTTCTTAACAGAAACAAATCTGTTAAATCTCAATTTGACTAGTAGTTAGAAGATAAAGAAACAAAACCAAAATATCCATGTTGATAGAGAGGAAGAAAGTAAAGAGGTAAATCCACATACATTAAAAAGTGATTTTTTCCCCCCCACCTAGCCTCTTATTGCTGCTGTCTATATTGCACTGATCGTATGGATAAAACTGAAGGTGCCAGTCTTCAAACCTGTCAAGCTAGTGCCTTTGAAAATTACTTAATTCATAAAAAAGACATTTTAAAATGCTAATCCTAATAATTCAGATAATACTTATCTAAATAAGTACTATGACTTTGGCAAAATATTTTAACATGCTCAAGTCACTTAGGAGTCCAAGCTTCAAATTTTACCCTTTGTGCACTTATATTACAAGTTGTGTAGATCAGGTGTATCCTCCTGTCCATGCTTCAAGAGTAGGCAGCTGCCAAATGTCCTTCTTAAAAAAAAAGAGACTTCCACAATAATAATAATAATAAATAATAATAAAAGCTTCTGATCCAGAAGCATAAGGAAATCACTTTTATTTGAGCTGTTAGTAGTATTGTTGAGTATTTGACCAAAGGAAAAAAAGAGTCCCCAAGCATTTCAAATAGTTGCCCCTCACTTTACCCAAAGTGGGCTTGCTCACCATGCTGGATTTTGTCCAGTTTCTAGACACCAGCCATTATGGTTTGATGTCAGAATATTCAGAGCAGTGTTCCGACATAAAAACAGGCCATTTTTATAGCAGGCAGAGGTTGAGGCTGAAAAGGAACATCTGCAACACCAAACACGTCAAAAATCAGAGAAGGAATGGCCTTAAATTTATATTCAAATTCAAACCCTCCAGGGTGAGGACATTGGCCTGTTTAACAGATTTTAAAAACAGGGATATCATAAAATGTCACCTTACCCAATTTCACGGTTTTTGAAGGAAATGTGATCTGAGGTGAAGAAGCTTGTGCAAAAGCAAACAACGAAGGCAGAATAATCCATCCTGCAACCATTGCCAAGAACTTGACCAGCTAAGGGAAGAACACTGAAGTTTTATGCTGCAGCACAAGTGTCATTAGTGAACATGAAGCGGGGGAAGGACAAACAATGAACACCACTGCCTGTTGTTGCTTTCATGTTAAATACAGTCAAACAATGAAAGGCAGATCTAAACAGCATCGCCTGGATGGTTCTGCCTGTGTTTAGCATTCTAGTTACAGCTGTCTGCAGGAAGGCAGTTCTCATCAGCAATTTTACACTAGAAGGCACAAACAAAACAGGCACTTCTCTAAGGTACTGTTGCACATTTAGGGCATCTAGTACAACACCCGGTTTATAATTAAACATAATAGATCAGGCAGAGGAAAGGAACCTGTTCAATTCTTGTACATTGTTAAAACAATAGACTGATTCACACACTAAGCACTAGGTGGGGCTAAGGAACTTATGCCTATGAAGGAATATGAATGTACTTTATTCACTGGAAGCCCTTGACCCAGATTCATTAAATTACGCTATCTTTAACCACAGTGGGGACAAAACCTCTTCTTCATTATGTGGCTGAACAGCTTGCAACACCATGTGCTTAATTGTTGCTGGAACTGGCTTTTTTTGCCAGTAAGCAAACAGTAAATGGTTTGAACAGAGTTAAGATTTATTGGCATCATTCCCTCATCTGTGGCTCCAATCCCACCTTTAAAATTTCCTTCAAATGTTGTTAGAGTAGGGTGTTCTGTAGTATATTGGAAGGCTTAATATGATATAGATGGCATCTGTTTAGGTCACATATTAGACAGGATTAATGATTCCAGAGACTTACAAGCTGCAGCTTAGTACTCTGCTTTCTGGATGCATTGACCCTTGTGCATGTGATGCATCTCCGCTCAAGACACAGCATTTCTAGAGGTTTAGGGAGGCAGAAACTGCACATCTGAATGACTGCAGCAAAGCTTACAAGTGCATTCCTTTAACCTTAGACTGTATCAAATAAGTCTCAAAAGAGCCTCCGCTTGGCACCTGGGAGGCTTGCCACAGCTGAACATAATCTAACCATTGAGAAATGTTTCTTGATAATCAGCCTATTTTTCCTTTTTCTTAATTTTATCCCACTATTCCTAGGGGCTTTCTTTGCACGCAGGGAATTTAGTGCAGCCAACCTATACAAACCCTGAAGGGAAGTGATGAGAACAAAAAGAATTACAGTAACTGTACAGCACATTCCAATGTGGAATGGGTACTTCCTTTAATCATGAGCAGAGCAAGGTAGATAGCCATGTTAGGCTGAAGTATGGTGCATACCTACCCTGCCTTCTGCCTACTTTCTTTAAGCCAGGAAGTAGGAACTGCTTATTTTGTGGCAAACCATGGAAACCTTCATCTTTGCCTGAAAGTCTAACATTTTTTAATTCAAGACAAAAAAAAAATATGGGTCTCATTCACCCACTAGTTCCTAACTCTCTATGCTGAGTGAGCATAACAGGGTTGGGACATCCTCCCCTTTATAACCAAAAGAGAAGTAGCCTATTTAGCATGGCCAGTTCAAGGCCGTGAGACAACACTGTTCACATTAATTACCTTCAGTGTTTTGGTATGCAGTATGTTCAAGCATGTAAGGGCTCTGGTCCAAGGGAATTCACAGTCACTAAAGTTTCTTCCTTTTTCTCCTGAATGACTGGCTGGCTTTGGTGACATGGGAAGGTAGTAAAATATTGGAAAGGAGCTGATTGGACACCACTTCATTGGTCCCTTCAAACCTGTTTTACTAAATGAAGAGAAGATAAATGTAATTTATAAAACAAACAAATGCTCCCTTTATAGGCGAGACAGCAGGATAATAATAGCCTTCTGATGAGTTCCATATGGTTACTGAGCCTATATCTTGAGGTCTGATTTGAAGAATTTATTTCCATCCAGTAAACCGTGATGTTCCTTCCTTTCCCTCCCCAATTAACACTACTACTTAGCACTAATAGGAGTGCTTTCATTTTCAAAGAGCTTTGAGACATGTATTAATCACTTCAATGTGCCTACAAGGAACAGATGGCAACAAAGTATTATCACTGCAATTTCACAGTTGGGAAAGCTCATGAGAGAAGCAACTTCAAGACAGAGTGTACAGAATTGCATTTCTGATTAGAACTCAGGAATTCCTGTTTTTCTGCTCTGCCCTTAGATGTTCTTACTTAGCTCCATCTCCCATTAATTGCTTTTGCTAAGAAGAGCTACATGGCTTTATTTGCTTTTTCACAAGAAAAATCTCCTTCCCTGTTTTCTCCTAGAGACTCCTTACCTTACTGTACCTGCTGACAGACAACTATTGTTAGGATTTACAAGGACACTGAATAACTGATCAGTAACACTGTTTGCACTTTGAAGAATCTTTAGCAAGCAGGGTCTGGAAAAGAAAAAGTTTAGTGATAATTCTGTATTTAAGACTTTCTATCATGAGACCAAATTCTACCAGGAGTTACCAGAGGGCAATTGTAATTAGGCAGTAAATGTTCTCCAGGGCAGATCTATAATTATTACTTTTATTTAATCTGGGCTTTTAAAAGATATATTAATTGGTAGGAGGGTTTCTCTCATCATTTTTCATATGTGGTTTTAAGAATATCCTGGTAACTGTGCATGCCAATACCCTACATGTAGAGAAGTGACTATCCTTTTCTATTCACACTTCAGGTGGAATTTTCAAAAGGACTTAAAATTTAGCATCTCAAGATTCAAACTTTTTGAATCTACGTGAATATGATATAGTCAAATATAATCTTTATTGGAGGTTTTCAGGAAGAGACTTGGTAAACATTTGGCTGGGATAACATAGAAACGGCACACTATTAGTACAGGGAGTTGGACTAAATGATACTGGAAGTGGCTTCCAACTCTAGGATTTTATAAATCTGCACTACCTGAACACAAGTTACATTATTAATTATGTAAGTTATATGGCCATATATATGGCCCTGTCACCTGAGAGCCAGCAGAACATCTGAGGGGAGGTACTCTCATCCTGGTGTATTTTAAGTTACCAGATGACAACATACTATGATCAGAGTATCCAGCCTTTTTAATCAGAAGGCCAGATTAAAAAATCATCAAGAGGCATATACACACTGGTGTTCTTAATTTTCTCTTCTAAAAATGGTGTGAGATGTGAGCTTGTGAGACCAAAGCCCTTCAATCGCAGAACAAGGACAGCTAAGATTGCAGTTTAGCAAGTTTTTTCTCCTTCAGAGCTTAGCTCAATACACAATTAATGGCTTAATGGACCATTTTCTAAAACAGGAAAGAGGGGCTAATTTCAGGGTTTTTTGGTCTGTCCTTCTATCAACAGTCACAATGGTTTTCAGGATGTTGATAATTGTTCCTAGGTAACTTAGATAAATGTGACATTTCACAAACAATGACAATTAGGCACATAACAGATATCAACTATTGCCTATCAGCACCAATTCAGGCTTGCTTTGAACAACTGACTTACAAGGGAGAAAACAGCTCTGTCTCTTAACCCAGTACCACATCTTGAGCCATTAAGTACTCCATGCTCTAAAATACTAACTGGTTCCTCTAAAGCCAGGTTGCCAATCTCTGAAGTTTATTAGTTGTTAAGTATTATTTATGTATTCATTTGCTAGATTTTTATGCTGTCCTTCCCAGCAAAGGTAGCTAATATATCAAACATTCTTCACAGTGTATATAGTATTGCTTTCTTGGTTTTGGACCCAAATCTGGTGCCAGCTGTTTAAGTTAAATTTTTAAGTGAGAAAGCATATATCTATCACATTCCAAGTCATTAGGAAAAAAACAACCCCAAGTCCACAAAAATATTCAGGAGTAATTTGAAACAGAGGTCTAGAACAGGACAGGAAAGGGGGATAGTTCAGTTAACATGTAACATTTATATCCTAAGTGCCATATGTAATTATGTAAACACCACAAGCAAAGTCAACCTAACATTCTCCTTTCCAAGGCATATTTAAAAAACAGACAGCAAGGCAGTGGCTAATGTATTTCATCCTCAGAGTTAATATATAGATATAAGAGATTTTATTGGATATTTAGGGAAAATGAAATGCATATTTTAATCCTTTCCAAAGGCAAAGGAAATCCACAGAAACATTCTGTTTCTGGTACCAAACTACCGAGATTCAATTAGTAACCTAGGACATCTATACACTATGCCAGGGGCAGGCAATTATTTTGGCTGAAGGGCCAAATTTTCATGAATTTTCGTGAGCTGTTGAGGGCCCCACCCCCTGGCCATCTTGTGGCCAGAAGTCCTGCCCTCTAACCCCGGAAGTCCCTCCCATTGCCCCTGGAAGTACTCCTTTTGGGAGGGGGTAGCATGGCCGTGCAACTGGAAGTTACACTATCACATGGCCTATGTCAGGGGTAGGCAACGTTATAAGGTGCTGGAATGCCAAAAAACCAAAACTGAGGTGGGGGTATGTGGCAGGCTGCACTGCATATTAATATAGTTAATAATCATAAACATTTCTGTTTTATGGTCAATACCAGGTTTTCTAAAAATTCTAAACTGGGTGACCATAAAGAAAACTTTATAAAGGGAAGAGAGGCGAGGGAAGAGGGAGGGAACAAAAAAAATAGAGGGAAGAGAGAGAGAAAGAAGAGGAAGGGAAGAGGAGAGAGAGAAGAGAGGGAATAAAGAAGAGAGAGGAGAGAGGGAAGGAAGGAGAAAGAGGGAAAGAGAGGGAGAGAGAGGCGTGGGTAGAAAGTGGCTGTAATGGGGGGCCAGCTCAGGGCCGATCTCCATGCAGCCCCCCACCTGTTCTTGGGCCAATTGCCTGCCTCCTTTCCTGCTATGCCTTGATCTTAATTGATTGGTGTAATTAAGCGGGAGGCTGTCCATTCTCTGTCCCGATGCCAGGGGGCGCTATCTGTGGCTCCATTCCTCTCCTACCCCGCAGCCCAAGCCTCGCAGATGCCATCTAGGTGTTCTCATCATCACTGGCCCCACACTGGGCCCCCAAATCCTCCTAATTGAACCCCAACCTAGAATCCTTTCAACAGGCGGCCTCATCCACCTTCA